TTAATTTAGGCAGAAAATTCAATCTCAGAAACAAAAAAAAAATTATCTTCAGAAACACCACAAACTTCAGCAACATGCCTAATATGTGTGGCAGCACTCTTACAACTCATCCAGCATGAATGGCATATTCTATCAGATGATGATATCTACAAAAAAAAAAACTATCTACAAAAGAAGTAATAAAGCAATAATTATTATTCATCTAAAAATATATTTAAAAAAAAAATTATTATGTGTTTATTTGTGGTTAAAATTATTACAGTATCAGTCAATTAATAACAGATATAATAATTTACATCTAAAATACAAAAGAGAAATAATCTAGAGAAATAGTATCAAGTTTTATACTGGCAAATGATTAACAACAATGTAGAAACATGAATATGTGATGTTGTGAACTTGTTTGTATAATAGCATTTATCTGTCTTTGCTTTTCTGAAGGATTATCAAAAACTGTGTTCTTCGACTTGGTTGAGATAATCCTGAAGCTTGAGCAACATCACAGCTTGTTAATTCCTGGTTTATTCTTCTTATAACGAGTTCATTACAAGATTTACAAATGTAATCTTCCTCAATAATCTGAAATAAAAAAACATGTATTGAGTTTATAATACATATTTTGGATATATAGATCTTTTGAACAGTTGTTTTTGTCATGTCACAGGTATAATTTATAGGAGCTTTGTTAGTTTGATTAGGACATGATTGATATTTTTAGATTAAAAATAATAAACATAAATACTCACAATTACTGGCGAATAGAAGTGGGCGATACAAATCGTATCAGATATGAAAACTAGATATTAGTACAATATCCGAATATCGCTTACTGGCTCGTTCAATATCTATGTATTTTACAATATCTGATATTTCCGAAATCTGATGTACCGTGCTCGCTCGCTATACCGACACGAATCGCGATATCATACGCGTTTGCCACAATATCTGATTTTTAAACAGATTTCGAGAGACAAAGCGCGTGAGATACAAATACTCACTAGTTAGAGCGGGACGGCAAGCAATGCACGGATATCGAGCGACAAAGCGCGTGAGATATAAATACTCACTAGTTAGAGCGGGACGGCAAGCAATGCACGATATCAGATATCGAGCGACAAAGCGCGTGAGATATAAATACTCACTAGTTAGAGCGGGACGGCAAGCAATGCACGATATCAGATATCGAGCGACAAAGCGCGTGAGATATAAATACTCACTAGTTAGAGCGGGACGGCAAGCAATGCACGATATCAGATTTTTAAACAGATTTTGAGCGACAAAGCGCGTGAGATACAAATATTACACTAGTTAGAGCAGTACGGCAAGCAAGGCACAATATCAGATTTTTAAACAGATATTATGAATAAGTTAAGTAATTTTGAATCTTAAATCCATACAAATAAGATCCGTTTCAATTAAATACTAATCATGGTATCAACGATTGCTACAACGATATTATTAAGTATATTTTTATTGTTTTGTTTAGCCTTGAGCCGTAACGGGCGACAAAGCGCGCAGTTAAGTAATTTTGAATCAGCATGGATGGTTGCATTTAAATACGAATTACGGTATTAACGATGTCTTTAAATTTTGTAAGAAAAATATAAATGGAAATTTTTTAGGAGGTAAATTTTTTGTGAATATTTTTATTAGTTAAATTTTATTCATTATTATTATTTAATTGAATGTATTTATTTTTAATTTTACTGAATGTATTATTTCTTACACAAATTATAAAGATATTGTCACTCATGATTGCGTGTTTTAAAAATATGTTAAAGTCAATTATTAAGCGATATATAAGATGTTAAAATAAATCATTTTTATAGAAATTCAATTTCTATTTTTAATGAAATTTTTAATTTTATCAGGTAATGTTTTAATTTTACCTTAATAGTATAAAAAAAAATCGTGATTTTAAATTCAGTAAGTTTTTTGAATTTAGTCAATTTTAGTGGGTTTTCGAATTTATTTAGAAGTATTCTTTTTGAACAGTTGGTATCACTGGTAATAACTTTAGTTATGTATAGGTACAATGATCGTCGAACAAGACTTTCGACGATTAAAGTCAAACAGCTTACGTTCGTAAACGTGAATTTAAACCCGGAGGAATCTAAATAATTATTAACCCACACATAATTGTAAATAAGTTAAGTTTTAAATATCAGGAAAATTATGTACATAGAATGAATCTTTTTTTAAATACTCTCCTTTTTTTTTTTTTTTTTAGAATTCAAGGTGGATACGGGACCGTAAAATATCTAGATATTAAAACACATAGTTTCGAAATCTGATATTTGAAATCGAAATCTGATTCAGATACGGTACTCAGAAAAAGCGATACGACCCATCTCTACTGCTTCGGTCTACCGTATCAGATATGCGCAAATGCTGTGTCGCGACTCCTTATCTGTTAGCCAAATATCGAGTGACCTTCTCATGTCATTGTTGTTTCGCGTCATTTGCATGGCCCGAACACGTGTAGGCTTTCGAATTGTCAGCTTGTGACCTAGCTGCAGAATAAGACGCGTATAACAGTTATACAAGATGACTTTTTTTATTAGAATTCTTAATAAAGGAATTTTATTATACACCTATTCAAAATTCAAAATTTGCAGATTTTGTAATATTAAGGCTTCCTTAGTGCTTAACTTTTTGGAAATACTTTGATACCATCCATTCTGAATCGTGACACATATTTGATACACATTCGGCACGCCTACTCGTAAAATAACTGGCAAATAACTTTAAAAGTTGTTATAAAGTTACATTGAGGCAAGATAAAACGTTAGTGTGCTCATTCAAGAATGCATCAACACTGTAAACACGTCTAGCGGCGTTATCCAGTAATGAACGGGCTAAATCAACACGCCGCTATTAATTAAATAACCTACAATTCGCGCGAAACGTTTGAGGAATCCGCGCCATTTCGTGTGCGCTGTCAAAACACACGCGCGTTCATTGACAGCCGGTGCAGGGTTGTCGGTTGGGAAAAATATTAATTTGAGGCGACCAAGCTCGGCATGTAGGTATAGATAATCCTACCACTTTCTTTGACGTTTCTTCATACGTCATCGGAATATTCTCATCTCTGATGAGTAATGCGTTGTTAGCGTTGAATGTTAAAACCAAACATTAGTTTTGGAGGGAAAAAAAATTACATAACATATTTCCATCGATCTGAACTGAATACTTCTGTAATAAATATTCGTTACTCTCCACTATACACTTACTTTCATTAAAAAGTAGTAAAATCTTTCCCGAAGTTTCGACGTAGTTTTCGTTTTACGCGAGGAATTAAAGAAAATTACAGCTTAACCACTTCTGATACGAAGACGTAATCGTAAGACACATTTAAATTATTATAGGTTAAAATAATAAGAATGCTATTAGTCTACACGAGTGATTATTAAAATGTGTGTGTTAATCCTAATTAAAAATGGATTTTCTTCGTTTAAATGTCCGCATTAGCCCTACACAAATCATTGTTTACGGCACTGTCAAGTCCCGCCTTAATGGATGCTCGAGATGTTTTGTCTATGCGGCGTCACGCCTGCGCCGGTTATTTTATCGTCCTCCATTCACTTCTGCGGTCAATTGTATTTTTAAAAACTCCCAAAGCGATACTGCGTGCGGAGATTGATGGGGCTGGGGAAATTTCTGACGGGGCGAAATTGCAACTTGTAAGATTTTGTATACATTTCGCGGTTAATCATAGTGATGATTTTAATAGGAAAGTTATAATAGCCGTTATTAGTCATCTCAGTGCTGAGTGATTTGCGACGATGGATAAAAATATTTTATTTAATGATTCATATTTAAAATTATGTTAACAAATCGACTGTCGTGTACACGACACGCAGTGCTCTTTATAACGTTGTACTTTATGAGGAAGACATGAAAAAAACTTTTAAGTTCAGTAATTAATCTAAGAACTTTTTGCTTTTCGGAAAAAATTCTTTATTTTAATGATACAAAGGACATTTCAATAGTAATTTGGGAATAGAGAATAGAAAAACTAAGCGTTTTTAGCAATGTAATTTTTTATAGATCTTTACCAAAAATATCACCAAAATTCATAAAATGAAATGATTGTCAATCTTTTTGATTTTATTGGCGTTACAATTGAGTTGTTTCATGCAGCGTCTAACGGAGTTAATTGTAGCTCTGACAATTATATACATCCTACAAAAAACAATCTCAGAAAAGATAAAATAAAATTAGAAAATAATTCAAAAACACAGACGGATTGGACGATAGCTTGTTAATCATTTTGTCTATAATCTTCCAAGATTCTAATAACCTAGTCTAATAATAGAAAATTAAATATCTAATACTTTTTTTCATGGCCAAATGATTAATAAGGCTACAAAAAATTAATAAGGCTTTAATTATGTCGTGGGGATTTTATTTTTTCAAATTTGATATTCCTCAAGCGCTTTCATCCTTGATAATGTCTTGGCTGATGGTCCAAAATTTAGTTAACATTTTATAAGAACATAAAGTCGACAGCGCGAACACTACTTCGAATATAACTATTAATTCAAATAGGGAATAGTCTTAAAGGTAAATAAACCTGACATTAATATCCAGGTTCGTTACGTATAATGAAAACGCGAGGGCGCCCTGTGCACAAAACGGCCTCTGAATTAGTCGCAAGTAGGTCGCAGCGTCGGCACGCCCCCTCACCCACTCTCGTCTGACCCCAGCCCGCCATTGACGTGCCACCCCTGCTGTGTTGCCAGCTGCCGCGTATTTACACGAGGAGCGAATGGTTTTTAAAGTGGCCAGCGTTAAGTAGACACATTTTCTGTTACTACAAACAATCTTTATTTAATAAAAGGCTACTGAATATTATTTCGAAATGTTCCCCCAAAATTTGACAATGGGTTTTCTTTTGAGCGATTTATAAATGAGAGCCGCCGCGTCTTTGTATATCGGTATACACAAATCAGATGATAAAAATTATATACTCCTATTCACGAGCGCATTGAAAAACAATGGGCGATTATATCTGTTCCAACGCGCTAATTGGGTCAGACGCCATGCGGCCGACTTGGCAACCCCGCACCGCCCAAACAACTCGAAGGGCGTTGTCGGGGGCGGCGGCTCTTCTGAATCTGGCCACCCCGCGCATTCACGAGGTGTACCTCAACGGAGCGCCCAGATTTTTCCTTTCAGCGATGCTTCGCTTCCGACGCTTCTTCGGGGATGTGATGCTTTCGTCGGTGTTATGCCAAATATCGCTTTCCTACCGCATCCCTTTGTGTTGCCACGTATATTTTCGCTACTCGTCTGGTATACGTTTTCGTTTTACAATTTCGGTTTTTTCTTTCAGAGCCTGTTTTCCGAGTTGTTTTGTCAGTATCAAAGCCCCGTGAACGCTTTCGTCCTTAGGGGTTGAATGTTTGAATATCAGCTGTTCGAAAATCATATAATAATAAAAATAAAAAAAGCGATACTTAAAAGGTTGTTATTCCGGATTCTTTATGATAACACTTTTGCAGGAAAATAGATTTTATAACAATTCACATTCAAGTACGCTCGCTCAAGTAAGGCAAAAGTGGTTACTGTTATTGTACTAAAAAATAAATAAATACATAGTACGTGTACGTAGATTTAGTGCAGAATGTTTCATAAATTTATATCCTACACTTTATTGTTGGTCACTCAATGTTATTAAAAAAAATATGCCATAAACAAAACGAACGTCTAAACAACACACGCGCTCCTGACGTGCGCACTTTCGGCCGGAGTGTTGCCATGATTGAGGTGCGGCGCGGAGTGGCGGCGTCTGGGGGTCGTCTGCGCCCCGGCCGCGACCTACATACAGCTCGGGGGTTGTGACGCGCGTCTGCCCCCCTCCACCGCACCTCCGCCCCGCCCGGCTTACGTAACACGGACACGATTTCGCAAAGCCCCACAGCCCGGCTAGGCCGTGCGCCGCATCATAAATAGACTTTGGCGGCTAGCAACACAGAATGCACGTTGACATTTGGGCCATGTTAATGTGTTGTCTGTATCTGAATGATATATTGTGTTATTAAATATTTATCTGTATGTATAGGGATTTGATTGAAACATCATCTTACTATCAGGAACTGATTTACTGAATGTTTCCCATTAAACGCTATGGTTAGAAACTAAAGGATGTGCTGGTAACTTTTTGAAATGCATATTTTGTAAAGAAATATAAACAAAAATTTTGACGATTTTTGACGTATATTTTTTATTACCTATTTGATACGATCATCACGAGTTCTGCGAGAAAAGTCGCGGGCAAATGGTACATTAATTTGTTATCTGTTATTTTGAATGCAAAACATAATTTAGATAGATTTAATCTTGTAAATATTAGATCAATAAAGATTGTAAAAAAAAAAAAAACATAACAATATAATATATCTTGTTTTCTTTTTTGAATTTAACGCTGTAGAGCGCTTGACGATAGGGGTGGCTTTTAAAGTACAATCACTAAATTATGTGCTTGCTCCTAAGCTCGGGTCAATAGCTTGTCGCATACTAATGTGGCAAGCTATTGACCCTTGAGAGTCAACCACTCGCTGGCAATTTAAGTGGCATTCAATATGAAGTGTTATAAAAGATTTTCATCAAGCGGTAGTCCTAATTGCAGAGACTACGAACTTTTTTGGGTCTCACGTGTAAACAGCTATTTCTCATTCTCTATCCCTCTTATGGTATTTCTCGATATAATTATTTTTTATCTAATTCGTATTAAACATATTAAGAAATGATTTAATAGTAGTAGTTAGTACATGGTTCAAGAATTTTTGTTTCGTTCGCACAGTTAACGTTGACACAAAATAAACCCATGACGACTAACTACTACTAGCATCTTCCTTGAAATCATCTCTTTCTTTTATGTGAGAATGCGGTTAGCGAGCTGGTGGTTCACGTGATGTTAAGTGATAACCGCCGTCCATGGGCCTTTGCACCCGTAGGGTTGCAGATGCGTTGCCGCCTTTTAATAAAGTGGACCCCGGCTACCACACTCACCGGACGAAACGCAGAAGTATAACACTTCCACTTCACACCGGTGCTCCCGAACGGACCTGCCCATTCGTGCGACAGCGAAGACTGTTGCTTGGCCCTGCCACAGTTAATCGACTCGCGTGCCGGTCTCATTCGCGTCCTCTCCGTGTTCCAGGCCGCGGAGACGGTGGTCTGCAAGCCGGAGCCGGCCGACTCGCCGCCGAAGAAGGCGCGCGCGGAGGAGTACGCGTACGCGCTGTACCTCGACCCGTACGCGCACCTACACTGCCGGCCGGCGTTCAGGCCGTGGGGCAAGAGCGAGCCCGCGCTGCAGCACCCCGAGCGGGTGGTCCGGGTGGCGGACTGCGGCCGCTTCGAGCGCGACTTCCAGCCGAACGTCGCCCTCAAGCCGCTGACGCCGCCCGTCGATGACGTCACCTCGTCCACCTCCCCGCCGCCGCAGAGCGAGTCGGAGATCGCGGCGCGGCTGCTCGACGCCGAGGCGCGGCTGGCGGAGCGAGCGAGGAGATTGGAGGAGAGGGAGGCGGAGCTCTCCCGCCGCGAGGCCCGCTTGGAGGAGAGGGAGAGGGAGCTGGAGAGGCGCCAGCGCAACGAAGAGCCGGAGGGGCCCCGAGGGGAGTCCCCGACGCGCGACGCCGACCCGCCGTGTTGACCCGCGCGAGTGATCACGCGGCGCCCGCGACGGACGCTCAGTGACGCGGCGCGGCCGAGGTGCCGCACGACATTATGAGGGGCAGTGTGGAACGCGATGAACCGGTTCGAAAGTAGGGGATTAACCGAACGCACGTGTTAACGTTCGGAGACGTCAGAGTTGGGGATCGCCCCGATTGAAATACACGAAAGCATGCAGCGGTGTACGGAGACGTCGAAACTAGACGATTGTAATGAACGCGTTTCGTTCGGAAACTTCAGATAGTCCATCTTGTCCGGAGCCAAGTTCTCCTTGTCGTGGTTCGAAATAATCAACAGTATAGAGTACAGTCACAGTTGGTGGACAGACGAGATATAGTTGTAAATATGTTCATATCAAGTACAGGTTTTGTGAAATCACTTGTTATTTTCTACGTAATTGTCAGTTGTTTTTTTTTTTCTTATAGTCTCTTCGATGTGTGCCATTCTGGAGGCACTGCCGATGCCTTTCCACCTAACCTCACTCCGTGCTTTTTTAACAATAGTGAACAAATACTCAAGATTAATATAGTGAAATAGTCGATTAATCCTAAAACCGTAAGCATAATTTATACAGGGTTATTCTTAAGTTTTTTTTACACAAACATTGTATAGAGCAGTTGCTTTTCTCATACCTCCTCTTTTATACCCATCAATTTTACAATGCGACCATAAAACACTTGAACAACATGATAAACATTTAAATTTAGTTTTCATGTCTTGCCTCGTACATTAAATAACTTATAATACTGATAAACATATCAGACGTGTTGTATGTGACGTAATTAATGGTGGAATGGCCATATTGCAAGTTTTTTTTATTTTTATTGCAGGAAATAACTCTGTATAAAACCTCAGCCAAACCAAATAATAATAAGTTAAAATATGTACATGACATTACTTGCATAATTTTCTTGATATAAAATTGTACATTTTACATTTTATCCGCACTGTAAAAAAAATTCTCTTCAATTTAAATTTATGTTCTTTTTAATGTTACTTATATTTTCTTCTAAGAAAATAACAAGCTCTTTTTTCAATTTGCACAAAAATTCCAAGTTACATTATTACTCAATGAAACTTCTCATAGAAAACCAAAACTTATATCTAGAGTTAGATCCTAGAATCCACAGTACAAATTGATAGCCCCAGTTAGTTATTTCCTCACGACAAATATTTCTTTAACTACGAAATTACAAAAGTAATTCAACCGATAAGTTTTACTTTAAAAAAAGAATACTAGTTTATTCTTCCATATAACTAAAGCTATCTTTTGTTAAAGAAAGTATTCATTAATTTAATTTATGAAATATTTCGGCTGACAGTATCAATTAAATCCAAATTCTACCTCATTGTAAATAAAATAAATTATTCGGCTAAAGTAAGAAAGGGATTAATTTATAATTTCGAGTCAGCACATCGGACAGAGCAATAATGTAAATTGTAGCGAGGAATCTGATCACTGCCTAAATAATGTAGGTGTCGATTTTCTACCTGTAAATAGTATAGAAAAAAAACATGTCGATCGCTTGCACGAACTTATGACATCTCGATTTGGAAGTAATCTGAATATGTTCACACATTTATCATCACAATTTCTTACGGTGTATTTATAGTTCATACGTTTTTTAGCATTTTATACCTGTGTACTGTAACCCAGACGGCGTAATCTAGCATAGACTCTGCCAGTACTATTGCATTTTGTCTCTTTTTTACTTTTCCTTACGACTGAGCAAACCTTCGAACATGTTTTAAGGTTATATTTTGACACATATTTTTTTCGTTGCACATGGCAACTAACACCTTGATTTTGTTATCATTCGACTAACAAAATTTCTAATTTTTATGTTTTATATCCGTGCCAACTTTTCGAGCACTTTGTAGTAATTTTAAATGTAAATAACCAAGTAATAATTTAGGGTCTTACAAACGGTGCCCTAACTTGTAATAGTCAGAACCATTATTTCTCAAACGGTTTTGACAATTTGTTTAATTCCTGATGTGTCCGAAAAGAAAAAGATTTTATCAATCGTTTAACACAATTCTGTAGTTTTATAAAGAAACAATTTTATCGTAGACATTTATGTTTTCTATGTTTTGTTCAATGTATTCAAATCAATTTTTAAGTGAGGAACAATGTAATTAGATGATGTTTGTGCTTATATGAAACAAAATTGTTCTGTCGGGCTAAGAATGATAAAGGGCAATGAATTTCGTGAAATATGATTTCACCTTTTGAAGCTGTTGATGTGTTTTGGCAAAGCTCAAACATGTAAATTGAATTGGGAACGTCTTTTTTTATTCAATTTTAAATATTTTATTCCTTACAAAGAGTGCTATGTTTCGTTGTAGTTAGTTGTACTAAGATGTTCTTTCAGTTCTAGGTTAGGTCGTATCTCTAGTCAGAGACGTTTCGAGAAAAAAAATTAAATTACCATTTACTTTTTAATATTTTATTAAAATAGGCACCACAGGCGAGTGTAATAAGAGTAACTTATTTTAAACGATAAAATTAGTTTTTACTAAGAACGGACTGCATGTCGTATCTAATTAAGGTACTAAAGTAAGTTATATATTGTGAAACTTTTCTGTCTGTACCGTTGTTGGACACGTATTTTGGTGCTATGATATTTTTGGCTTGGCTAACTTAGTGTTTAATTGTACATATAATATTATTTTAGTATTTATTGGCATCTAATTCGGTTCGGTTGATGTTTTTTAAAGTATTTAGTTGAATGAAATTGGTAATGTTTCGGCTTCATATAAAAATGGCTTAGCCATTTGGACCTACTATTTACTATTGATTATATAGACGATCATTTTCGAAAGATCTATGGTATGTTATAATTTTTTTTCTTTTTTTGTTTGATTATTTTTCACAAAGGTCAGATTTAATACTTTGTATTAACTGATCGAGTTGTGTCTATCTACTAGGCTGTTAACTAATGTTACGCTTTAATTATTACCGTAGGTTGTAATGTTGTATTGTATCGATAGAAAAGTTTCAGAGGTTGTCTCACTGTCTTGTTTGAAATAAATATAATGGTGCTAATTAAACCACGTACATGAAAAAATACGATAATGTGAAAATGGGAAATTGAAAAAATAAGAGCATGTACGCTTTTAGACATTTTAATATTGGATATAAGGTGTAATAGTTGTAGACGTCTCCGATCACTCAAAAAGTTGGCTACTAAAGTGTGGGAACTGTTTCCGTAGTGACCGGAAGACGTTCCTAGCATATTCCTCGGGGTTTTTGGTGATAGGAAAGTGCTAAATTCATTGTTTTTAACATCCTACTTTTAACGCTTTACAAGGGAATTTTAATCGCCGTCACATTCATGTTTGAATCTTGTGGCGGTTATAATTTCTGGTTTGTTTCAAATTATCTCTATATAGAATAGATTATTATACTTATGTTCAAAAGATGTGGCCTAAAACAACGCTATATTCAAGTGGTAAGTATTATAAGGTGAATTGCATCAACTTCAAATGTTAATTATGAAACATTCACGACAATATACTGTAGCCCTATCTCTAACTACAACATAATAAACAATAGTACCTACCTAAATTACATGCAATTCACTCTTGTTTGTAACATAAAATCCCTTCTTTCAATCTTAAAAAAACTTTAAGATTATTTAAAATATTGATTTCATCCATTAAAGACAGTGAGAAACTTGTTATGTAAATATAATTTTACAATACGGTACAGAACGATGAGCGAACGCCAGGCTGTTGTAATAAACCTTTTGAAGCGTAGAATAAGACGCGAATGAACCTTCCCTCCAATTTTCAATTCCATTTTTAAAATATGCCACACAGCATAAAATGTAAATATGTACTTAAACGAACATTTAAGAAATCATCAGAAGTAATAAATAAAAATGGAGAGTGGGTTCACTAAGCGTAAGGTGATTTGCCAGGGTATAATAACATACTCCTGTGATCTCAATGTATGTTTGTTCATAAAATATGTACACTTGCAAAATAAACACAATGTAGCAGTCGCAATATCTTTTTATTAATTTTGCGTAAAATTATAAAACTTCTTTACAAATTTCTGCCACCTTCTGGTAAAATATTTAATGTTATCTAATAAAGGGCATATTTATATGTTAAAAAAAAACGTGGTCCGTAGTCTGTTCTAATCCTCCTGTAATTAAAAAAGAAAAACGAAAAAATTTTCGATGGCAGCAGTTTGCCTCCATCTTCTTAGCTATGTGTGAAAGTATTTTATTTAGTCATATCATGTCTTATTTTGGAATCTTGCCAATGAAATGGATTTTTTCTTATAAATATAATTGTTTTATCTTGCCTAAAACTAAATAGACTGTATTGATTTTAGTGGGTGAGAATTTATCATAAAGTGATGCTATTTTTTTACATAATAACAATATCATTTACAAACGGACTTAAAAGATTTATGATAATAACAAAGATGTACAATTAGAAATATACATACCATTTGAAATGCCGAAGGTGGTTGAATATTTTTTTCATGTGTATGTTTTACTAATATTCCCTTATATTTGCGACTGCGTGTTACCTTTGGTAATGAAGTAGGTACCATCTAAGAAACAGCTTGATTATGAATTGTGTGTGTTTATATCAGACAAAGAATAAATTGTTGAGGTATACAAACTTCTCTAATTCAACGAAGCATTCCTTTTGTTTGTTTTTTTGGATTTTATTGGTTTGACAGTTTTCGTAATATCCAACAGTAATTATGACAGATCGCATATTATAAAGTACCTGATAGTTTAGACGGTTAAGATATAGGTATATAAAATAATGTTCTGTTAAGCACACACATGTTCGTAACATGTGGTTTCGAAGTGTGTTTTTACTTGGAAAAAGCTTAAGTACCTTGTGGAGCAATAAAATGAAATGATTTCCATATGAAATGTTTTATTTTTGTCTAATTTATATTCATAATGGGTATAAAAAAGAAAGACTTAGCGAAAAACCTGATCA